GGCACCAGTGCAAGTGTGCAAGTGTGAGTAGGGGGCGGCGGGCAGAGGGCGGATTGCAACGCAGGGGAGGGCGGAGGGCGCACAAGAAAAGCAGGCAGAGAAAGGGTCAACGCTGATTTTCAAGGGGGGGGGGTGCTGGCTCCCTGACCCGGGCGGCCCGCCTGGGCGCCCCCTCTTAACAAAAGGCTGACAGGCGAGGGGGGCGGGGGGCGGGAACCCGGAGACTGGGCACAACACTACCCTGGCCCCCTTCCGCCCCTCCACCGCTCCACCGTCCGGCCGCGCTCGCGCGCGCGCGCGCGCGCGCGTTCCGGGCCCCATGCAAGTGACGCGGGGCCGGGCCCCTCCCCCGGGGTCTCGCGCGCGGCGAGCGCGCGTCCCGGTGTACTGTGTGCCGGGAACCCGGGGACGCGAGGAGGGGGGGGGGGCGGGGTGGGCAGGACACGTCCAGGGAGGGGGGGGGGAGGGGCAGGGAAACTAGCCGGGGGTGGGGGCCGATTCATTGGGAACAGGACGGGAAGATGCCAATCCACACGCCACAAGCCGGTCACCGCCCGCGCCCCCCGGAGGCCCGGGAGGGAGGCCCCCGTGCGCGCCGTGGCCCTCCACCCCGGCGCCGTAAACACAATGGCCGCTCGAGCACACGCGCGCACAGTGACGCACACGCGCAAGTGCGCATGCCCCAGTCCGGGGGCCGGCGAAGGGGAAAAGCAACGCCCGCGATGCTGGCGCGCAGGAAAGGCGCCCCGGCCTCCAGGCCGCATAGAACACTCTAGAGCACGCAGGCGTGGGAACTCATCGCCCCAGCCGGGGGGGGGGGTGTTGCGTCAGGCTCCCACCAGGTACGCGACGCGGTGCCCCAGCCCCTCCACGGGCGCGCGCCGGAGGAGCCGCCGCGCCCCATTCCACACATACACACGCATACACACGCACGCACATGCAGACACAGGCACACAGGGAGCTGCCGCGCCGGGGCGGCTGGGGGCCGAGGCAACGGCGGCCACCCAGGGGCACGACACACATCAAAATGCGACAAGAGGCCGGGGCTGGCCGGCGAAAGCTAAATTAACCACATGATCTGGGCCGGGTCACACGACGATCGGGCCGAGGCGCGCGCACAGCACCCCGGCCCAGAGGGCGCCCAGGCGGGCCAGCGCCGCGGACCCCTCCCGGTCGGGAGACAGGCCGCCGCCGCCGCCGCCGCCGCCGCCGCCGCCGGGGTCGGGCAGCTCGTCGACCGGCGGGCCGCCGGCCAGCGAGGCAGCCTCGGCCGACGCGGCGTCCGCGAGGTCCCGGGCCCCGGGGACCGGCGAGGGATCGTGCGAGGAGAGCGACGCCACAAAGCGCCCGATCGCCTGGCGGGCGACGCCCGGCCGAGGGAGCCCCACAGGGGCGGGGGAAGGGACGCACCGGCCGGGCAGGCGTGCGTGCGTGCGTGCATGCATGCGCGCAAGAGGAATGCCCAGGGTGGGCCTGGCGGGTCAGGAAGAGGCAAGGAAAGAGGGAAAGAAAGAAAAAAAAAAAGGAGGCAGAGGCAGGGCGGCGGCCACGCACCGGCAGACAGGCGTCGGCCGCCGGGCCGGAGCCGCCGGCCAGCGAGAGGGCCACCACCGCGGCCACGGCCGCGCGCATCAGGCGCCGGCGGGTGGTTTGCAGCCGCGCCGCCTCGGCCGCCCCGGGGGCCGGCCCCTCGGGGCCCCCCCCTCCCGGGACCGGCAGGAACAGGAGATGCCCCACACCGGCCAGGAATTGCCGGTGCCGGGCGGCCAGGGCGTCCAGGCTGTCGGGCGGCCGGTCGGCGGCCGGCCCGGCGGCCGGGCTGCTGCCGCCCGGCCCCGGCTCGCCCAGGCCCAGCCGCAGGATCGGCGCCATGAGCCGGTGCCAAAGCTGCCCGAGGGCCAAGTCCCGGATGTGCGACAGCAGCGTCCCGGCGAAGAGGTGCGCCAGGTGCAGGCGGCGAAGTGCGGCGCGGTCGGCCGCCGGGGGGGCGCCCCCCCGGCGCCGGGCCAGCTTCCCCCGGCGCAGGGCGGCCGTCAGGGCACCGCGCGCCAGGTGCACCGCCCGGTGGAGCTGCAGCAGGGCCGCGTGCGCATTCTGATAGAAGGCCCCCTCGGCCGGGCCGAGGATGGCCGCCTGGTGCAGGCACTCCGGCGAGGCATACACCAGGGTGAAGACGTCCCAGCCGGAGGGCCGGCCGCCGGGCGGCCGCGTGTGCAAGTGCACCCCGAGCCGCGCGACCACCTCCCCCTCGAGCAGGGCCCCGGGGCCCGGGCGGGGTGGCTGGTCGGCCGCCGCCGCCGCCGCCGCCGCCGCCGCCGCCGCCGCCCGCAGCCGGACGTCGCAGGCCCCGGTGCCGGCCGCCCGGCCGGCCGCCAGCCGGACCGCCGCCGTGGCCTCATGGACATTGACATCGCGCGAGGGCACCCCGAGCAGGGTGCCCCCGGGGCCGGCGGCAGCGCTCAGCAGCCCCACCAACTCCTCGGCGAACTGCTCATTCCCCAGGAGAATGTAGTCCCGCAGGGCGGCCAGGTGCAGGGGGAGGTCCACCGGGGCCGGGGGGCCGGGGTGGCCGGGCCCGGCTGGCCCGGTGCCCGGCAGGAGCCCGGCCGTGGGCCAGCCCGCCCCGGCTGGCCCGGCGCCCGGCGAGAGCCCGGCCGGCGCGGCCAGCCGGGCCACCAGCCGCCCGGCCGCCCGGCCTCGCAGGCGCTCCAGCTCCAGGGCCAGCTCCGGCAGGCGCTCCAGCGTGAAGAGGGCCTCCCCGGGCAGGAGGTCGCCCTGGGGCCGGTCGTGGCCCGGCCCCGGCAGCAGCTGGTCCGGCTCCAGGTGCAGCTGCGAGCGCGCGAAGGCCAGCGTCCGGCCGATGTCGAGGCAGGCACGCGCGGTCGGGGCCCCGGCATCTCGGGCAAGGAACCCCGGCACCCGATCGGCGGCCAGGCCGAAGCGCCCGGTCCAGAAGGGCCCGGCCCCGGGCCCGGCCGGGTCCCCGGGCGCCGCCGCCGCCGCCGCCACCACCACCACCATGAACTCGCCAAAGGGGTCGTCCACCCGGCCATCGCACACCCACCGGCGCAGCTGCCCGAAGAAGGGCCCGCTGGCCTGGGCCAGCAGCCGCCCCAGGAGATCCACCTCGCCGCCGGTGCAGGGCCCCGGGGCCGGCCCGGCCCGCCGGGCCGACCCCATGGAGGCCAGCTGCTCGTCCAGCAGATCCTGCAGGAAAGACAGCACCCGCCCGGCCGCCGGGCCGCCCTCCCGGCAGGACTCCACCACGAATGCCAGCAGCCGGAGGAGCCGCAGCGGCCCGGCCGCCCAGGCCAGCAGGGTCTTCAGCCCGTTGACCGTGGGCCGGTGGTGCCCGGGGCCGGGCCCTGCACCGGGCCCCGGGGCGTCCGGCCGGAAGGCCGTGCGGAATTGGATCTCCAGCGCCTGGACCTGGTCCCGGAAGGCGGCCACCTCGCGCCCGGCCGCCTGCGTCAGGGCCTGCAGCGTCCAGCTGGTCCTGGCCGCGTGGGCCCCGATGTGCTGGCAGAGGCTGGCGCAGCGCCGGGCCAGCCAGGCCGGCTCGCACAGGACCGCCACCGCCTGGCGCTGCGGCAGCGACGGCAGCCCCCCGGGGCTGGCGGCTCCTGGCAGCAGGGCATACTGCTCGGTGGCCGGGTCGAAGGCCAGCAGCTTGCCGGAGTCCGCGCCCTGGTACAGGTAGAGGAGGTCCTGCAGGAGGCGTTCCTCCAGGCGGACTATGGTGCGGGGGGGGGGGGAGGGG